AGAGTAGAAAAAATTTAACTCTTGACATTGACTAATGAGCTTTCGGTTTGAGTTTCATTGCATCCTGAATATTTCATTGCAACAGAAACGAAAAGATTCAGTGAACACAGATCATCTGTCATTGACCCGTTGAATATCTTTGAGGAAGAGGAAGAGTGTTTTGTTTTAATTTAAAATAAACATTAGTCCTCTTCGTTTCCTTACCGACAACACTCCACACTCCACTCACGACAACACTCCACCTTAGTGACTCCGACGTAATGGCAGCGAGAGAAAAATCCGTCGCATGGTGTTAAACTTTTCAGATTTTCTTTGCGTCTCGGTGTAGGGGAGCCTTTAACTGAACGTTCCCCATCTAATTGTCAGGTTTTAGGAAATGCAGCGAGTCCTTGGCCTTTCCCTAAGATTTACGAATGGACGGACGAGAATCAGCCAATACTTGATGGAATACCTAACGAGTTTTTCATAAATGGAATGTAAAATACTTTTAAAAACTTTTGCCCCGCGAAAATTGGGTAAAGGTAAACACAACATAAGCCCTTCGTCCAGACATTTTTAGATTTCCATCAAAATTTCTGGTGAATCAAAGAATTCGTTCAATTTCATTTTAGCATTTTCCAAAGCATCAGCAAGTTTAAGGTTTGTCCTGCATTGCGAGGCAATTATATAATCAAATGGAAAATATGGAAGTCAGTTAATATCTCAGTTTGTTGCAATGATAAATTGTTTAAGTAGAACGACAACGACAACGACAAATGTAACAATTGCTCGATTTAGAAGAAAAGTCTAATATGTCATACAAAATGAAATATCATTCATCATACCCTGCCTTAGAGTTTTGACACCGAACAAACATATATTTGATGACTGCCTGAAATCCATGCAATAAATTATAAAAAAGGTACAAATAAACGCAAGTGCAAATGAATAAACTTTACAGTATGGTAGTGAAAATAATTTCCATTTAGATGAAGGAATTTGTGTTCACTACTAGACGGCTTTTGAAACCGGACTACATATGCGCCTTTATATAAATACTCTCTGCAATATAATAAGTGTTGCGCCTTTGTATTCATACATTTGTGGCATTCATTTAGGTTGGATTTACATTTGCTACAAACATCGTCAGCTAACCATTTTTATTAAGGTCGATACTTTTCAGCCGAATCCAGACAAACTTGGCAACATATCCATACTACACTATGGATATGTTGTCACAACTCTTATCTATAGAAATGCGTAAACAAACATAGTTATGTTTTCTCCTCAAACGATACATTAGGAAAAGACGTTTAGGCGCAAGCAGAGGCAAGGCTACGTAGTATCCATGAGTTTATGTTAATTTTCTGTATAATTGATTTTTCTTCTCCGCAGCTGTATGTGGACGTATGTTTGCATTTATCATTTCTCGAGCGATATGATTTTTTCATTAACATAAAAATAACGCATTCGTTTCACAACTTCAATGAATAATTTAGAAATCTTTAAAGTCAATTCATCTGTCCTCACGCATTTATGAATGAAACGTGGGGCAACTGGAACGGGATCACGTCAACAGACGAAAGAATGGGTGTTGGTTTAATATATTTTTTGAATAAACTTTTTTAAAAAAGTTTTTCAAATCAACGCGTGAAGGGGTTTCGTGCTTGGGTTAAAGAGCACCAAATTTCGTCAAAATTTTGAACCATAAAGCGAATGCAAAGGTGTACAGCCAAACTTAAAAGGTAGATAGGAGCTCTTAAATAGATTCAAAATATTGTTCTGAAACGATCGGTGATGCGTCTCTTTCAAGTCTTTATAGACTTAAGAGGCACTCTCTACGATAGCTAGGTTAATATTTGCAAAATTCTGTGCTTAGTCGTTCTAGGCGTATTGGGGTCATCTCCAAACCTAAGTTGCCTTTTTCATAAATTTTTGGATCGATTTTGGCACCATCGGCTAATGAAGATTATATATGTACTTTAAATTGAAATGATATAACTAAATTGTATAAAAATACCAAATAAAAACGCTATAGTCGATCACGGCTATCATTAAATAACCTACACCTCCATACAATTGTTCACATAAGATCTCTTGCAAACGAAGCCTTACATGGAAAGTGGCCGAGAAAGTGGTTCAATCCGCGACATTTTCAACAGCGTGCAGCACATCGATAAATATCAGATTTCATCAAAATAACTCAAAAATTGCGGTCAGCAGATTGAACACAAGAAAATACGACAGATAGCAGGAGTCTCTCGGTGTATCTCAAGTCCGCACAACTTAATATATTTTGTTGCTTCGCAAGCGGTGTAGGGTGCAAAAATGTACATAAACAGAGAAACGTATGCAAACCTATTAAAGTATTTCGCATATATTAACAAATAAAAAAAAAAAAAAGATTAAATAATTTTTTCGTTTTAATTTTAAAAGCATTTTTCGAAAATATAACAAAAATTGATGTAAAATTTGCGACTATCATAGTGCCACATGCTTTATTTGAAATCTGAATAGCATATAAAATAATGCAAAATTATATTACAGTCTCAACTCATTCGAGTGGAAAGATGTTTAATGTGATTAAGTGTATTTTCCTGTTTTTTGATTTTTTTTGTTTTATGTTTATAACGTTTTTCTGAATTGAAACAAAAGGCAATAAACGGATAAACCGTCACTTTATGATCGCTAAAGTGTAATTATTGACGGGCACTTAATTGTATTTTATAGTCTATTGTTGCTTTTGACATGAGCGATGGTTTATCTGATAGAAAATAATTTAAATGAAAGTCAGTCATTATAATACCATGTAAATGATGTGAGAGAAAGCCTGACATGTAATTGTGCATTGAATGTGATTTAAATGATTATAGAGAAACAAAGAAGAGGCAATCTTTTAGGGATGATGTTCGATATCCGTGTTAACGGAGATTCACGCTAAAGCTCTTATCCATATATTTATCCTAACGGTTCTTAAATTTCCCCTGAATATCAATCAATAATAACAGAAAGGAAGCTTCAGCGGCCCTATAAAGTTCATGTATTCTTGATCAACGTCAAATTTTAAATTCGTCAATCCTTCTATGTGATTTCTGTGTTAAGCAATCGGTTCATATGATGTTTACAACACCTATTCCTCATTTATATAATATTCAGCTGAATGTACAACTCTTCGCATGTACCGAGAGAAATATCTTACTATTCAAATTACTGCACTAACACATAAATGTGTATCGTATGGAGCATACGTGCAATATGTTATGTACTGATCAAGACTGGCACATTTGTTGCGTTATTTATGTGCGTAACAGGCACGCCGATTATTTACGTATATTATGAAATTTACATTGTTTACTTTATCAAGTTTTTATTAAATCAAAACAAAAATTTACAATCAATAAATATCAATAAAGAGGATTTACATTGTATATCGCTTTTATTATGTCTGGCGGTAATACAAGTGAAAACATTTTATGGGACGTAGTCCACCATTAAATACCCTACTCCACCTCGCTTAATACTGTTACTAATGTAATGATTTTTCGAACTAAGGTGGGCAGTAATTCGATCCGAACCATTTTCAACAGCGCTCGTTCTTCGGCTAAAACACGTCCGTCTATCGAATCCCATTAAAATACCTCAACTATTGTGAGTTGTAGATGGACTACAAAAAAACAAGGCGAACAGGGAGACAGACAAACTTAGATCGATTCAGAAAGTGATTCTGAACTGAGTGGCACAATAAAAGGCGCGTCTATCTTAAATTCGTCTAGGTGTTGCATGCATCTACACAAGCTTAATACACTCTTGTATTAGAAATGGTACAGTGTACAAAAAAATATTTTGAAACATGAAAAGGAATGAGAAAAATAGTATTTGCTATAGAAGGAATATCTGCAAGTACACGACACCCGATTAATACTTTAATTCAATTAAGTTATATTGTTAAAATCGATCGTTTCACATAAGTTATTGTGGGTAAGTATTTGGTATTTTTCGTTCTTTGCTCTAAGTCTGATCAAATCTTGGCAGTCAATACTGTTGTCGTTGCGATCAGTTTAGTTAATATGAACCGAAAGTATTGGACTCATATCAAACCGAAACTATGTCGACCTGATATACATTTATAAATTTGGCAAATTTTAAAGAGGCATTTTGGCTCGTTTACTGGGCAAGATAAGCTTTTTTGCTGTAGATTATTGAATAGAACTTGGCAGAACTTTTAATGTAAAGTCGTTTGTATTTAGTCAGTTTTCCGAAGCTGCGCAGAAAGAAATTGCTTTCATTGTATTCGCAATTTTCAATATCAACCTGCGTGCAAGAACTTTCAATATTTTTCATAAATTTAAAGCCGAGATCTTTATTTTTACAACCACAAAAAAGTTTCTCTAACCAAGAACACAAGCGAACAACTAGATGGGTCGACGTGGCAAGCACAACGATCCTAAATTTATTAATGACAAAGATAAGTAACACATTTTGTTTTTTTGGATGGTGGCTTTAATTGGACTGAGCCAATAATTAATGTGACTTACATGTCCATAGGGCGGACATAAAACAAAAAGTTCTTTCATATGAACTTAAAATTGCATATAGGGTAGGACTTCGAACATTTGCCCGAGGCGCTCTAGTTCCAATTTTATATACATTGCATTTTGACTTTGACACACACTTGTTTTGCAAACATTTCTTTAAGCGGCAAATACTTGGGAATTAAAAGACAGTTTGAAAAGTAACCCCTTCCGCCAGATTTTATCAAAGACGTTTTGCGCACCTCGAATACAAATAATAATTTTAATTGGGGACCTCATCACATAAAGGAAATTCTCTTCAAAACAGAAATTATCCAACAAGCCGAAGCCGAAGCCGAAGCACTTCAACAATTACTTCGATGAGAAAAAGCATTGAGAAATCAATTTAAAAAATTATTGCGGCTGTTTATTTTTACAAAATAATAAGACGTTTCTCAAAAGCTTAAGACCAAAACATATATCAATTAGAAATTACTATAAAATAAGTAATCATGTTTTAACGCTGCCGTAACTTAATACTTTCTCGTTTACATTTCTACAGCCCGATTGAGCTACGTCGATTGTTAGAGTTATTCTATTGAAGTCTTCTGGTTTTAAATTGATTTTTTCTACTCTCATTTCTCTATATATGCAATCTTTAAGTTCTTTTTCGGTAAATGCATTAAAATTGACTATATTCACGAGCGGTAAAGATTTTGTGAGAAATTTTTGTTGCTCTTCTCGCAGATATTCGTCCGAACTTAAATTAAATACGTAGAAAACGATAATCTTCTTATGCTTATTAACTGTTCTCTTAATTAATTCACTAAGCAAAGGCACTAAGGCGTGATCACTGTCTTGTAGGTTTTCTATAATCAATAGATTACGCCCACAATCCGAGAATTGCTGAATAATCATTCGAAGCATATAAAATTTTTCAGCTTCATCTCGTACGTTCGTGTTCCAAGCGTATGTGTGCACATTATCAGGCCATGGAAAGTTGGCGATCAAGCTGTTTACTACTAAACTTTTGCCCACACCAATCGGACCTACTAGCGCTACAGAGTTGAGTGTGTATTCATTGCGTAAAGCTATTTCAAGGTCTTTTAAAGCGACTTCTTGATGAATTATCCAATTCTTTCGAATGCTCGTTAATATTTTCCCGGGATTGATGTCCTTTCGGGGATCGCAGTATTTGGAACCGCCATTAAAGGTCGCGAATCGTTTGATATAAATTCGAAAGAGTTCTTCTAGAACTTCTTTAGGATTTTCGAAGACTAAAGGGTAGCTTTTCATATACGTATCTAGAAGGAAAACAATTATTATGATGCTCACCAAAAAACAGTTAATTTTTGCAATATGAGTGGAACACATCTAAAGCAAGCAAGATGCCTTAATTTTTCTCTTTTGAAATTCTATAAAAGAAAAAGATACGCGTTTCAATTTTACTGCAAAGAAAAAACTCATCTTTATTGTCTTTTATCGCATTTACATTTCTGCCAGAATTTCCAGATTCCTGTTGATCGACTTCCATCATTTAATGTGCTTAAAAGTCAATTTTTCATTTTGGCAAATTAGAGGGATTTCAAATTTATTTAATTAAAAAATTTATAAAAAAATGGAAAAGAATTTCATAAACAGTCCATAAAACTACTACAAAAATTTGATCTTAACTCAATTGATTAAAAAAGGTCAGCGTTGTCATAATAAAAAATGTTTTATACCAAAAATTAATTGAATATAAGGTTCCTCAAATTTTTTCATTTTCAAAAACTTATTTGATTCATATGCATGCGAGTAGAAGAAAATGTTAGTGTTAGAGTTTATCACTTCAAGAAGTGAACTGGAGTATACACTGGTATAATGTACCTGTGTTTGTCTACTGATGACTGATCCTGAACCACTAGACATACGATAACCATTTAAACCTAGAGAAAACAAAAAAAAGTGTCCTAATGAGGTTTGTTGGAAACTATTTGTCATTCACACTTTCTATTACGCAAAGCCAAAGCATTATTTAGTAAAGGATTGAATTTTTCGCTAGCAACATTCACCCATTAAAATTATCATGTCCTACTTCAAGATACGACTTTTTTTAATGCTCACTTTTATCTTATTTATGCTCGATTCAAAAATTACCGACGCTTTTTTTTTTTAATTTTCCCCTCATTTTTTTGTCGAAACGTTTGCATCGCCCAAAGAGAATCTTTAAATCTAAAGTGTATATGTGTATACGTTTGTCCACCTGGGTAATATCTGTGATAAGCATTCTTTTAGTCGCAAAAATTATCGGAATATATCGGATTCAAAATCGGCAAAAACTTCTTACAGAGAGTCATGGATTAAATCAGTTAAAGGGTACTCCTATCATCCAACGTAGGTTGAAAAAATCTCTGACACACATTGAAAATTCTCATTTATATTCTAAAGAAATGATGATAACAAGAAAGAAATTTAGTTTCCTTTACTCCTTTTCGAGATGAAAGTGATGGATACAAAATATTCTATTGTAGCGCAATAAAATTTTCTCATTCGTTCGTTTTTTTCCTGTTTTTAAAAAAGTTTTCGATCAAGAGTCATTTTAAGAAAATGTAGCATTAAGTCTTTAAAAGAAATGCAGCAATGCTCGGACATTAAGCAGACTTATCACACATACAAAGGAAATGTCGTTTATAAATGTATAAGGATTAATTAAATAACATTGCCTTCGCAACTTTACTTGATATAATCACGTTTTATCACCGCTTTGCATCTGATTGATTAAACCAATTTATTCAGCTTTTTATTCCCGCATGTTCACCGATTGAAAGGACATTTAATTATAAATTACTTAAATAATTACATGTGTTCTGCAGAATGAATTTTTCGCACTATTTTGATTGTCGACCTTACGCTTTAAGGCAGGTGTAATCAACACTAATTTAAAGTAGCGAATAAATCAATTACGAAATACTCCAACGACTGTAAATAATTTATCGCACTTAAGCATACTTAACGTTTCAAAGAAATCGTCGCAAGTACGGGTTTTATTTAAAAATTTTCCAGTAGCATAAAATTAATATCTGTTGAAAAAATTTTTGCATTAAAAATTACCTCAGTCTTTATTAAAAAAGGTTCAAAGAATTTAGCTGACCTTTTTCTGTCTTTTATGTGCAATCGCATGTACACTTTTGAAGTAATCAATTTACGTCATTACTGCTTTAAATGATATTGATCCTGTGTTTGTCTTACTCACAGCATAAACTGGTCTTGACACTTTAATGCATTATCACGCTGTTACTCACTTTTGTGCTTTCATTTTCTATACCCGTTAGGGAAGGATAAGAAGCGCATTCGTTTTGTCAAAATGTTTGCAACATCTAGAACATAGCCTCACACACCCTATATATATATATATATATATATATATATAATATATTTGATTAGCATCAAATTCTGAATTAATTTAAGCCCACTTGTCTGTTCGTTTTTGCTGTAAAAATTCTCCGGGAAGAAAAGTGAAGCTATTGGTTTTAAATTTGCGGGAACATAAGAGGTTGTTGCACGCATATTGCCATTGGAAATCGATCAAAGGACACGTCTGCAGTACCACGTAAACTGAGAATATCTCTGTCTCTTAACGGGAAAGAAAATTGGTTTTTAGCTCATTACTCACAAACCCCAGCAGACAAACCTACAAAGATTTGGACATGTATTTTTTGGACGATGCTATAGTATCTGTATAAAAATTGGAAAAATCGGTCGCGCCTACCCAATATTTTAGTATATCACAGTTTCATCTTTTGTCAACGGCCAGAAACTACTTTCAAAAATCTCAAAAAAACTCGGTTCCATTGTCTGGCCATTGGTCATCGTGCCAAACATAGTAATATCTGTGGTAAATAATATATCATTCGTAAAAATGAAGGCATCCTTTTCGAATTTGCAAAGGAGTTTGAAAATGAACCAAATCGACTCAAGGATACCCATGAGACCTCCTTTGCCTTCCGTGTGTTTTTCACCCAAGACATAAATTTCCATGATAAAGAAAAAAAATTAGCCACGCCTATTCAATAGCGAAAGCTATGAAAATTTGGGTTTTTCGCTTTTCTCTTAGTCTTTTTTATAATAGCAGTGATAGACGGAAAAGATTTGTTTCGTTTAGGCTTCCAAGAGTATTTTTAATGTTAATGAAGCAATTATTTCGAGTGGAAGACGGGGAACCAAGGATGATATTACGAGCGATACAAATTTAATATTGAGATAACGGGAAAGCGGTTCCGGCATGGCTTTGACTTCAGTGAAAGTGTCAATACATGTGAAAAAAGAAGATGGACCGACAGATAGATGGATAAAAGGATGGACAGACGGACAAATAAACTTAAATCCATTCAAAACTTGATTTCAAGCCGCTCGGTAATGTAAAAGAGGGCCTTTCTTAAATCCACCTTGGCCTTATATCCACCAAGTGTGGTATGTATCACAGGGGACGTAGCGTAGAAGAAGATTCAGCCAAGCAAAAAGAAAGAAAATTTTAAAGATCAACTTATTTCATTTAATATTTCTATGCACCACATCTTCTATAAACAATGGAATAACAAATGCACTTTATCGGAATATATTTGAAAAGTAAAAAAAAAAAAAAAAAAACCGACTTTTAATAGAAACACAAGCAATTTGCAACAAAACTTTTCTAGTTTTCTAAATTGACAAAAGTTAACTTTGTTTCGTTTTCTTTCTTAAGTGCTTATCCGTAATATTTCACGCTTTGTTTCAATTTGCTTTTTTTTTTTACAATGCAAACTGAATATTTTTATACTGGCTATCGTTCTTCACACTCTTTAAAAAATCTTTATTCACACTTGTTTGTATACTTTAAGAATTTATTTTGTCTCGGAATAAGGCTTTATCAAGTTTCACTTGATTTATTCGGTTAGTTATCTAGTAAGTTTGTTATGCACATTTGCAAAGCTTGCACTTTGGCACTGTAGTATTTTATATAGTCTGTTATGTGCGTATGTATTGACAGGTTTCTCTTAAATTCAACAAAACAAATTCGCAGTAAAATAAGCTCTCCCTTGTATTTTGAAAGAAAAAATTTAGTTATATAAAAAACTAAGTTACAAGTTATTTTTGTTTTTCCGAAGATGAAAAGTTTTCTCATTTATATGTTTTTCTTTATATATCAAAACATGTGCTTATCGCTAGTTGAAGTTTCAGAGATTATCTTAGTGTATTCGTCGAGTAACGTTAGATATTAAAAAATAAAGAGTAGTTATCTTCGGGTTAGAACGAATCATTCGATATCTATTAAGAAATCGTAAATAAAAAATTGGTTTCTCTCCAATTAGATTCTAAATCGATTTCGACATGTCCGCCTTTTCGGTGCACTCAGCAAAAATCAAGTGAAAATTATGCTTCATAAAAAATTGCCGTAACCGAACTAAATATTTTATACCAATTCAGAATGTCGAAATACTATTGCTCTGCGAGTTTCCTCAAACAGTGTTGAAATGGCAAATGGCCGAAGTTGGCCGGTTCGAAGCATTTTGCTCATCCGTCAAACAACACCCGTTTACCAAATTTCATTAAAATATCAAAAAAAATTGCGATCTATAGGTTGGACATACAGACGGGCAGACAATCTTATATCGATTCAGAAAAGGTTATAATAATGCTGGGTAGTAGCAAAAAACTTAACATACTATGCACTATAAGTTTTGTAGGGAATAAAAGCTAATAGTGAATTAAAAGTCAAGGGCTCTTGGTATGACGTAATACATCAAAAGTTTACAAAATGAAATATTTCAGTACTTTTGAGATGAAATTTTATGTGCCCTTTGCTTCATGGGATTTCGGATTACAATCATTTTATTGGCACATTACCTGTGCCAGTAGCTGGCACAGCTCTGCATTTTTGTGAATCCAATTAAAAGAACTAGTTTCCAGCGCACTTGTTATTAACAAATTATTTATTATTTTGTTATCATACAACAGATTTTTTCTATATATTCTTTTTTATTCTTTCGTGATATTGTCAGTAAACTAAATCAATTTGTATTGTACGTAAACGCGGAAAACTGTTACGCGCTTCTTGAATATCATTGTCATTGCAGTCGAAATTAACGATATGTAATTCTTCAAGAGCAGGAAAATATTTGCTTATATCTAGAAGGTCTGAAACGGTGGGTTTTTTATATCTTCGACAAGCCTTGAGATGAAGTTTGATTAATTCTTTAAATGTACATTTTATATTTAACATCTGAAGGGTCTTAATAGGAAACCAGCATGACTTAAGTGTTTTAAGTCTTTTTAAATTACTTATGTTCGGTTGGGAGCGAAGACAATTTATGTCATGTAGGATGCAGGGTGCAGTCAGAACAAGGTGGCGCATATGGGTGAGCCGCTGAAAAACGCTATACATTCCTTCAGTTAAATCGTCAATGTATGGGTCAAATATTACGCGCTCATTGTGGCTGAAATGCAAATCAAATTTTTTCAAATTCGGCAATCGCTCAACCACTACGGGAAGTGCATACCCGCTCAGAGTTACGCCAAAAATCTTTATTTCAGTTAGCTTTTTATTCACTTTTAGGACTATACTAGCGAGGAGGTCTGTAGGACTGCAACGCTGACTTAATTGCAAATTACGCAAATTGCCGCTCAAGGAGTTTAGTTGTTTTACAGTGTTTTTCGTTATCTCGTTGCACGTCAAGTGTAAACATTTCAAGGAGGTAGCCCATTTTCGTCCAATTAATTCTAACAAATCATCATCGACACTGTCGTTACCTAACATTATTGTTCTAAGACGAGTTTCCTTCGGAATATTTTCTAATATAGTCCTTTTGGCTTCTATAGTAGTACATCCTACATCTATATCTTTCAGTTGAGTAAGTTTTTGAAATGTTTCTATCAATTTAGATTTTAATACCAAATAAGTATGGACCCCAAGGCGTAACTTGAGCCAATGTAATGAAGATGCGCACATTGCTATCATGTCTAAGCTATATGCAACGGAATCACTAACAGCTACGTCCAACTTTTCTAAATTTGCTAGAGATAATTGATTCGATCCGACGATAGTCCATGTTAATTGACATACTGAAAGCCTGTTATATGGCATTAATAATGATTTAAGATTTGAAAATTTATTAAGATCCGCCCGTACGCCTCTATCGTATCTCAAAGATGACAGATCCATATCCCTCAGCTTCGGTAAAAGGTTGTCAAGCAGTAAGAGAATTGAGATTTTAAAAAGTTTCAGTCGAACAATATCTTTGCCTAAATGATTGAAGACTCTTAATAAAAGTGCGTGCTGCGCGTTGTTGAACTGGAGCAATTTGTCATCTATCTCATCACGTATCTCAACACTTTCATATTTCAAACTTTCATTCTCCACAAGATCGCAAATATCCTCCAAGTTTTGGCTGGTAATGACCAATTTCCCTTTACGCTTTAGTTCGGCGTGACCCAGCTGGCGCCAGTGTTTGCAAACTAAGTGAACTTGCAGTAGATCTCCATACGACAAATTACCGAAAATCTTTAACCACATTTCATTGGGTAATGTGGGTGCGTTTATATTGTTGTCAGTCTGCATATCCGGAAAAGTGTCCGCCACATCCTGAAATAAGTGAGTGAAAAAATTATTAAAATATGTGTGAATGCAATTTTCTAAACGTGCCGGAGAGAGTTTTAGCAAAATTTCAGCAAAAATGTATTAAACCATAAAACTTATGCCTAACATGCTTATGCTTATTAAAGATGTTTACATTGTTCGTTTCCTTCGTAACGTATATTAACTTGTTCGCTACCAGTCGTCACATACATCTGATAAAGCCGTTCACATATTTGTATCATGTAAAGAAATCTCGAGCTGTGATTGATGTTTTTCCGAGGAGACCCCCTAATCCACCAAGCTTGTACAACAACTGAATAATGTGGTAAAATTTTCTTAAATGCTAAAGAATTATAGTCTTTTACATATAGAAAAGTTCTTTTACATAGAGAAAAGTTCTCCAAGTTGTCTCATGCGCGTTTTAGCAAGGAGAAATAAATTAGTTCCTTCTCATTTCATACCGTTTTATGGAAATGGAATAAATTTACAAAATATGTTTCACAAATAAGGTTTTCATTACAGATAGAAAATAAAGCTGGAACACAGAAATTTCTTTACACCGGTTTACACACTATAGCGGCTTCATTTCGAGACACATTTGGTTAAGGGATTTTCAATTGAAATTCGTCCAAAGACTAGAAACAGTTTCTGTTAAACGGATTGTGTAGCGTTTACCTTTCCACCAGCTCGTATTTTCTTTAGGACGGGATCGTAACTTGCGTTAGAAATTTCCGAGACAATTTGTTCACTTGCATTTCCACCATCCACGTTCCTAAAAGTAAAAGAAAATAAAAATGTATAGGAGATGAAAACAGTAATACGATATGTGCGAAGCGTGCGAGTGTGACGCAGATGATATTGCTTTTCTAATTTTTTTTAGATTTAGCTCTAGGGATGTAGCAGAAGGACAAAGACTACACAGATACAAGAATGATAAGGTAGATATCTAGAATGGATCACTTCCGAGATAGGTGGGTTACTCTATCACACCATTAATAGGTTAAAGCCTCTAAGACTATTTGGATCGGAAATTTATTGCTTGCATTGTGTTGTAAAAGATTGCCATGTACGCATCACATAATTTTTGGAAAACATTTGCAGTCTTTACAGTTTGCAATGAATGATTGGGAATAGAAAAATTATGTTCTGTATGGAAACATGTATCAAACTGGTTTATGTGTGGTCTTCTCCTTATATTCATAAATACATATAAATATTAATTTCATACTTTGCTTACCTGCTCGACATTTTGCGTTGTAACCGTTTGACGAGTGCAAGGAGTTGTTCAATCTTAGCTAAATTAATTCTTACGACGTAAGATTAGCTGTTAAGTGCCTTATTGATTTTGATTTAAATCTACTTAGTATTTCTTTTATTTTCGCTGTCGTGCGCTAGTGTCATCTGCAACTGTTCATCACTCCACAAAGAGAAATTGTTATTGTGAATATAATATCAAAACACCTTTCCTTTTATTTGATCGCTTATTCTATTCGATACCGGCATAAATTCTTTCATACAAATTTTAATTTCGCTTAATAGGCTAACTTTACAACGATTACAAAATTCTTTGATTTATTATGTCCTACAGCACTTTTGGTATAAGGGTATATTAAGTTTGTGTAGATGTACGCAACGCCCAGAAGAACTTGAGATAAACTCACTTTTTATTATACCGATCGTTTCGGAAACACTTTAGGAGACGAATTAAGCTTGTCTGTCCGCTTGACTTGAAATGTAATTCGGTACACCGACATGTTGCGGCCCAACGACGATCGCTATTAAAAATGATTGAGATTGGACAACTTTTTCGACCACTTTCCACATAACACCTAGCTTTCGATGATCGATAAACCAATAAACTTAGGAGGATGTAGGGTATCTAATAGTGGATTGTGACCTGATATAGCACTTGTAATTGTTTACAATATGTTTCTATGTAATTTTGTAACACTCTACTATTTACTGGTTGCCGTCCTTTGTGTTAGATACATAAACCCGCTTATGGTACCGCGAATTTCCTTTAGTGCTCCACTTATTTTGCACGGGTTTTCCAAAGAGTAAATTTGTTTTATAAGTAATTCGTTGACAAAGTGTGATTTAAGCAATCCTTGGTAAAATATTGTATGGCTTGTATAATTTAACAACATTCGAAAAAAAATCTTCTGAATTTTTACACTCATCACCATTTTTTATTATATCCAAAGGTAATCATGAACGAAATGTAAACTGCGTTTATTTTTAATCGAAGCGAAATATATCCTAGTTTCTTTTCGCGGTGAGATGGAGGAGTGGAAGGCCTTACAATACGGATTCTAGAAAGTTACAAACCGGTTTCAATAACCACTACGCATTTTGATTTTAAATTAAATATTTTCTATCATGTTGACTTGGGCTTGGTACGAATTAATTGTAGTTTCGGAAATCAATAGTTTTCCTATTTCCACGAATTATAGGCAAAAGTCAATATCAACGTCATAGAGTCTTTAATTTCCCCTTCTACGTTTCAATCATACGGATTATATCATACGTATTTTTGAAAGATTACTGGAAATCTGTCTTGGTAGTTACTAGATAGATACCAGTGGAAGTTCGTACCGCGGCAAGAGCAAAAAACATTTCAACAAAGAAATGTATAACAAAAGTAAGCTCGCTTCGCTTAGCTGTCATGTGTATTCGCGAGGTTGAAAACTAAGAGAGAGAAATTAGTATTTTCGCAGTAGGTGCTCTTTTTGGAACGCTTGCTGAGGACATTGGAATCTTAGTGAGAATTATCTTCTGTCCCATTTTCTAGAATCTTCAAATAATACTTGATTTTCCGAGCTGCCTATTGTTGCATTAAACACTGCTTCTATGGGCAAGAAGACATATAGGCGAGATTGCAGACCATTAACATGCATAGATAGTAGGCATGTAGTACAAAAAATTTTGCAAGACAATGAAAACGTTGACTTGAAAATAAAACATAAATAAACGAAAACAAGTGAGAAAGTTATATCCGAATATATTCGGGGGCCGAATTTCGCATACCCACCATCATGCTTTCCGCATTCTACTCTCCAAGTTCTTTTATTCGATACACATGTCGCAGTAATGAATGAAACTTTGCAATCATAATAATATTAAGAGCGGATGCTATTCATTTCAAGGAAGAGGCATGCAATAGGAAGATGGAACTGGGTGTATTAAAATTAATAAAGGCTATAACTAATATATTGTACAAATTTATAAGACCCTTTAATGTATAAATAATTGTATAAAGGGAACATTCATTCATTCATTTTAAAAAGTGTTCCAACGGCGCCAAGTTTTCTTGCCTCAATCTTCTACAATACTTTCAAGGAATATGCTAGTGCTCTCTAACAGAGAACAGGAATTTATAATTTGTCGACTATTTTTTTATTAGAACAACTTGTCGATGTCGTTATATTATGGTCCAGAATGCTTTGCTGATGGGAATACTTTGATATTAATTTGGTTTTGCACTTTCAACGGCCCCGTCTATCATCAGGACACCAAAACGGGTTCCGAAAAACACAGCTTCTTTCGTCTGATTTTATAAGTCATTCTATATAAATTGCACTATGTAGAAGCCTTCATTATAATAATTCGCACAATAAAGGATGATTTTAATGATTCTTTTATTTTAAATTTATTTTTGTATAACGTATCTTAATACAAAAGTTATTTTTAATAAAAAAATTTCACGTTTTTTTTCTTAATTCAAGCAAAACAAAAAAATATCGAAAAAAGAGTAACACGATGGGAATTTAATCGAAACCACACGTGTTGAGTTCAACGTTTCTTAAAAAATATTGCATCTACCTTTCAGTTTCTCTTCTTTTCATCAGTATCCAGAAGTAGTAGTCAACTTAAAAACCTCTATCGTATTTTAGTTTACGTAAACGGGGAAAACAGGCACGCATTTCTTCATTACGAGCGCCGCAATCTAAATTAAAAATGCGTAGTTTTTCAAGAGCGGGGAAGTGTTCGCTGATTTTTACGAATTCAGGAAAGGAGAGCTTTCTAGTTCGGTTACAACCGAAAATGTCGAGTTTTTGCAATGCTTTAAATTCAATATTTGAATTTATAATATGAATGACTTTCAAAGGGCATAAGCATGATTGAAGTGTTTCAAGCTCTGTTAGATTGCTGATGTTAGGTTTCGAGCAAAGATATTTTATATCATTTTCGCTGACGCATGGCTGTAGGAAAAGATGCCGTAAATGCCTGAGATGACCAAATATGCAAACCATTTCAATATCAGTTATGTTTGACCAATGCTTTTTTAAATTGAGCGTGATCAAGTTAGGCACACGTTGCACAAGAGTACAGAACATGTCTCCAGCCAGTTGCGAGGAACTCAACTCCAATGCAGTTAATTTTTCATTGACTTTTGGAGTTATAATGTAAAGGAGATCTAAATCGGCTAATCCAAAGGCATTCAAACTTAAGCTACGCAATCTATCGCTCATCAATTTTAATTTTCTCGCTCTGCACGGTGTAACGTTTAAGCACACAAAGTCCAGACATTCTAAAGAGTCGGACCACTTTCGGAGAATTAACTCCAAATAATCACAGAAAACACTTAAAATTAATGTTTTAAGGCGATTTCGTCTTGAAAGTGTTTTTAAAATAAATCTTATTGATTCGCTATCGTAAACGTGCCTCAAGTTTAACACCTCCAGTTGAGTAAATTTACTAAAAGTCTCTTGCAATTGATGTTGCCATCTCCAGTCTATATTTCTCGAAGAAAGACTGAGCTCAAGCCAACGCAATGAGGATGCATGCGCTGCTAACACGTTCAAACACTCGCCAATATTACTTTTAATAGTTATGCATAATTTTTCTAATCGCATCCCAGTCACTTCTGTCAAACTCGGCAATAATTCAGATTGTTGTTTGTCGCCATTCATAGGCATCGACAATGACTTAAGGTTTGAGAATGTGTTTAAATCCATGGGTGCGCTTTTGTATGAAAGGCTCTGTGACAAATTTAATTCCTTCAAATTAGGTAAAAGAATTTTAAGCTCCGAGAGAATTGAGAGATTATAAACTTTCAGCTCAACGATATAAGATCCTATGCGTTTGAAAATCTTGATTAAAAAGCCGCAATCGATGTCACTGATAGAATTATTTCCCCTATCATCTATTTCTACGCTTGCGTATTTCAAATCCTGATGCTCTGTAAGTTTGTAAAGTTGTTTTAAGTTTTTCCCGGTAATCATCAATTTTGATTTTCGCTTTAGGCGAAGCTCATCAACTAATCGGCACCAGCGTTTACACACTAGCTTGGTCTGTAATGAATCTCCATGCGATAAGTTACTGAGAACTTGCAGCCATATTTCATTGGGCAATAAATGTGATGTTGTGATTTTTTTGTTAGCCTGCGTATCCATTACGTCCTTAAAAAGTTAATAAAATATTCTATATTAATACATATATAAATATGAGTGCTAGGAATGAGAAGTTTCTCAGACAAACATTTTATGGACAACCAAACCTTTTTATAAATTTGACCAAAGATATCATTCCAAACCGAAGCGAGCAGTTGATAACAAAAGGAAGCAAAATATATGAAAGTCGCACTCACTCTATCATCATCATTACTACTGTCATTTGGTTCGGAAGCAAAAGTTTGGATACATCATACGGATGTCGACAAACACTAAATCTTTCTCATTTCCTATTTACTCGGTGTTTCTACAAATTCAAGGCGTACATACATTCTGCAAAACTCTTATTTTCTTATAGCTTTCCAAAGTTTCCCCTTTTCCTTGGTTGTAGAAAAGATTACATTTTACTCATAATCTTCTATACACATACATATATGTCAAAGGAGAACATATATTCTCTTTACAATTTTTACTTTTATGTCATCCCAACCGTGAAGATCCAAAGAAAAAAACTATATATGATTAGCTCTTTCATAAAAATCATTGTCGGGGTCTTATTATTCGTTGGTCTGACCACTTGAATTGTTGTTGGATAGGCTTTAATGTGTCCCTCTGGCTGATTCTAAAATTTCATCGCTCTACTTAATTTGAGGAACACAGTTTAAGTAAAATCTGGATCATGAAGTCTCCCACGCAGTCGATTTCTGTGTCGCGACTTTAAGCTCAAATTCTTTGCTTATTGTGCCATTAAGACTATTTGATCCGTCTTTTATTAAACGCTAATATATATCGGATGTATTTAAGCGAATCTACCCAATATATCCAAAGTCAAAATTTTCTTGCGCTTTAGCTACACCTATACCATATGGACATACTCCGTACATAGAGAAAAGAATGAACATATCGGTGGATCAATATCGATGTAGGTCAGAGCATTAATTAGGGCTAGCGCTTCAGGCCACAGTGGCCAAAATGTTGATGTTTTCCTAGCGTTAAATGAATCTATGTTTTACGTATGCATACATACGGTGTCGTGAACATCAATAACTTTTCAAATTGCGAACATGGTACAAGAAATAGGTACTGAAAGCAAACCTTAAATAACTTATACTGAAGTGATATTTTACTTACGAACTCGGAATTGATATGAGCGATCTGACTGCGTATTGTATTTTATGTGTTCTAGTCTGCAGCGAAGAAGTAACGTTTCTCTCGATTTGGAAATGCTCAGACGCGTGTACTTGTTACACAATCGATTTCCGGCAGTTATTATTAAAACTTATTGCTATTATTTGCTAATGCGACTCGGCAATATAAAATTTTGTACTGAATAGATTCTCAAAATATTCCCTTACTTATACTCATTTTAGATTTTATACCTGTGATACAATTAAGATCTCATTTATTTGGAGTACAGAAGAGTATCTTTATTTTTGCAGTAACTTTGAACATATTCAACTTCAGGTGATTAATTTTACAAAAATTGTCATGACGAAAATTTTGAAAACATTTTTCTTGCACGAAGATACCTGTCATAGTTAGGAAATCATGTAGAAAACGTGAGGGATGACGAATTTTTATTCGTACTTTACCTGCTTCTGCGGAGTTATCCACTTCCAAATATGTTGTATTAAACTATTTATTTATTCAAATGAATATACGTAAAATACAGGTACTATAAGACTTTAGCTGATTTAAATTATAAGCTTAACTATTTATGACATTATAGGTTACAAAAAATAAAAAGGGAAGTAAAGAAGAACAAAAAGAAAAAGCGAAAACACTAAAGTGGGCTAGGGATATCTTATATCGCCTTACTTAATATAGCGGCTTTTGAATCAAGGTGTTACATGGACCGAAAAAAAGAATTCAATAGCATTCATCCTTGGGCCAATCCATGTTAGTCTATACAATTTCATCAAAGTATCTCAAAAGTTGCGACATGTGGGTTGAACGCAAGTATTAATAAGTGATGGACGGACGGAAAAACTTAGGTAGATTATTGATTAAATGTTTTAATGCTCGAGCAACAAAAAGAATAAATCTCTGGGTATGGTCTTAGAAAGTTTTGCAAAGGGCCATAAATGAATTAAATAATTCGTAATTGGACCTAGATTAGATAAGTCTTATGAAAAGAAAGTTACTTGAAAGACGGATAGAAGCATTGAAGAATATTTCATTTAATATTACTAACGTCATCACACATCCATATCATCATTTTTTAACTTTAATAAGAATGAAATAACTACAATAGATCAACCATTCTCCCAAGCGAATCTGAAACTATAAGCAATAATGAAACTAATTGGTCGGAAGTGTCTTTAAAGCAATTGATCCATCATGGTAGCGCTAAGACGAGGATTAAATATGGTACATATATATTTTTGATCAGTCCAAGATGTGATATATTTTTGACATTGATTTGTCAGCAAGATATGTGACCGTCATCAGTATCAGAGTCCGTCCAAATTCGCTTTGCTCTTATCTAACTCTCGAAGTTTCATATTCGCCGTACGTTGTAGCTGAAGACAAATTTTAACTGGCTCTACTTCCGAACCCTCGAGTGCAAATCGTTACTTTTAATAAATAAAACATATGCGAAAATCAAAAGATTTCATAATTTTGCAGATTTGTAACTTGCCCTACTTATCTTTTTCTTTAAGTTATACAACTGCTTGGAAATATTATTATCACAAATGCAGTTAATGTTTGTAATAAAATTTTTATTCATAAAACTTTAAAGACTATCGTTTTCCTTAAATGCCAGTACATATATGTTAACTAAACAAATTTCTCACACTACGAAGTGTAAACGAATAAATGAAATATACGCGTTGGTCTGTTTCCGTCGTGAATGAAAAACTTTGTTTAGGCAAGGACATACAACGCAGGTGGACACGTGTGATGATAACATCACATATGCATATGTACGTATGGGGCAGTTATTGAATCCTTTTTTGCATTTTTAATAACTTTCTCTTAATCAAATTTAGAAGGCGTCTATTCAATTGTACTTTTCCAATTAGGTGGTGACCGACCTATCTTTAAACTATTCACTTGGAAAAAAAATTGAAAAGGGCTGTTTAGAAAATAAGGGGAATTTTATTTGTAAAAGCTTTAAACCAATCTGCTCCCTTGGCAGCATACACCTTTAAACGATTCTATTAATTCAAGAGGTTATCATTAAGCGGCTTTTCTTTAGCTCAGAGTCATGCTTATGGAAAAGCATTAGTTTGCTGTTGTTGTCTGTTGAAGAACCGACGCGCAACAGTGCCCGTAAGCGCAGGTATATTGATATGTTTTACCGCAAACCTAGACTTTCTTTATGGGTAGACACTTAACCATTACAATAACTTACTTAAGACTTCGTTTGTTGCAGAGAGGGGCAGCTAGAAAACTGAAAGATTACTCTAACGTATTATTGATCAAGTTGATGATACCGTTCATAGCCAAAAACACTCTAACTAAATTCAAGATTTCGATATCATTTTCTGCTTTATTAAACATTTTTAATTATTTAATAAACGACTATTACTGATACTGATAACTATTAATTAAAATTTTTAATATATGGCATAGAGGTTTATAGAACATGAGGGTAAACATAATTTCCGCCAAGAAAATGTATCAAAATTCTCAAAAATTTATTATTATATTTTAAGCTGAAAATCAATTTCAATTTATTTGACATTATGCGATCAAAATTTGCGCTCCAATGTTGTTATATAATAGGCATTTATGGTTTTAATTAATTATTTTTGTGAGAATAATACCTTATGACAGCTCATTCACCTTAATGACATAAATTTGTGGCGTCAAACTGTTGATTTTATCCTGGAGAGTCGAGCTTCCGAAAATGTATTTTTATTATATTCAACCTCACGCAAACGTGAAAATATTGAACACTGAAAAGGCGAGCAGCATCATCATCCATACATATTTAAACACGTTTGTTGGTAAATAGAATAAAATTATTAAAGTTTGCACATGAAAAACTTTCAACAACAACAACAGATACGGAATTGCTAAATTTCAAAAGTTGAGCACCCATTTCTTTGGCACAATTAGTAGGTTATAATTTCAAGGCATTGTCGCTCTATAAGGAAAAATTTTTTGCTGTTACACTTGAAAGCCAATGTGCGTGTTTTGTACACGTCCCATTGTAAAACAGCGAAATCATTCATTTGATTGAAATGAAACGTAAACATATAGTGTTTGTTTTGGCTGAAGAAAACTGTGAAATGTTGTTAAATTTCTATAGGTGGTACCGAAGGCTAACTACTGTGTCGTTGCACATGCAATATATCACTCAAAAAGCCCGTAGGATTAGAGTGATCTCTTTGCAATTGCGTTGCTCAAACGTAGTAATAATCCTACATAATATTTACTGTTAGATCAACATTACACCCTGTGCATTCTAAAAGACGGATGCCATAAGTTTCTCAGTTGACCTTTTTGTTTTTGGCCCTGTTGAGCTGTTTTCGCCTGTCTCTCTGCACTCACCACACTGCCGATTTGTCGCTGGGGTGTAGGGATGAGTACATGTTTCATCCATTGTGATATATCGCATGAAAAAATTGTTTTTATTTCGCCTACAGAGCACTAAACAGCGCTCTGAATCATTGATATGTTGCTGTTTTTGGTCGAAAATGAGGAAACGCGCAGTACCCAACCCGAATAAGGCTTTTTCATGGGCAAATGTTCATGAAAAGTATCAATTACACTGGCTTGCGATGTCATCACGCAACTTTCCAAAACGATTTGATGCACATTCCTACGATTCCTGGAATAACCAATAGGGTGAGTGTTTGCTTATTTCATCCAATTTATGGATAATTGAATCAGGAACGTGCTCTTGTGCGTTAAAATTGAATTCAGATTCTATGCTAATTTTATGCGGACGGCCGGACAAATAAGCTTAAATCAATTCAAAATTGATCGATATAATCAAAGGTGCAAAATTTAAAGTTTTTTCCAAATAAATGAAAATGACCAAAAAATAT